TCTCTCTCTCTCTCAAAAAATAAACATTTAAAAAAATTTTTAAAGAAAAATAAATAAATAAAAAAGAAACATAGCAGAGGCTCCTGGGTGGCTCAGTTGGTTAAGCATCTGACTCTTGGTTTGGGCTCAATCAGGTCATGATTTCACAGTTCATGACTACAAGCCCCGCGTCAAGCTTTGCGCTGACAGTGTGGACCCTGCTTCAGATTCTCTCTCTCCCTCTCTCTCTGCTCCTCCCTTGCTTGCTCTCTCTCTCAAAAATAAATAAGTAAACTTAAAAAAATTGCAAAACATGGGGTGCCTGGCTGGTGCAGTCAGAGGAGCATGTGACTCTTGATCTCAGGGTCATGAGTTCAAGCCCCATGTTGGGTATAGAGATTACTTAAATAAATACACTTAAAAAAAACTCTGCAAGACTCTGAAGGCCACTTTGAGCTGATGTGGACATGTCGCAGCCATGGAACTGTGCTGAGGATTGAGGCTGCACAGTGATAACAGGATCAGAACCCAGCACAGTCTAGCATACATGGCTCTGCTGACCCAGCCCCACAGCCAGACCAGCACCAGTCTGCAGTTTCCCTCTAATTCCTCTGGGGTTGCTGCAACACACAGCCCAGGGAGCTGAGCAATGATCACTCCAGGTCTTGCCGGTGAATGCCTCCTTGCCCCCTGCCACCTGGAAAACCTTTCTCTCCCTTTCCCAGTACACTAGACTGCCTCTCCCAGGCCCCTTCACCCTCTCCTGGGAGGAAGGAGCCCTGTTCAGCACGTGGGCTGCTCTCCTGCTCCACAGGGACATGGAATAAATAAATCATTGACAAGAATAAATCTCTGGCCAAGAAAACACCATTAAACAACTCCCACTCACCTCCTCCAGGGAAACGACAGAGTCATTGTAGAGGTTGGGCAGGCGGATGACAAGGTCTCTTTGCTCAACCCCTGCCTCAGCCTGGATGGCAGTGGAGCTCTGGAGCATTTCTGTGCAGATGTCATAGTTCTCCAGGGCCTGCTCCATGTCTCCCTGGTCAAAGGAAACGCAGTCAAGGGACAGGGGCAGAAAGAGGGAAACTCACTGTGCCGTGCCAGGTACCTTACCTTCCTGATCCCACTAGACTGTAGGCACCACGAGGGCAGCTTTGTCCAATTACTGCTATACCGTCTTAAAAGGGGCCTGGCACACAGCCGGGGCTCAACAAATATTTGTTGGATGAATGAACAAATGAATGAATAATTCATACCACAATTCTAAGGAAAGGTATCATTAACTCCCATGGTGCAGATGAGAACACTGAGGACACATGAAGAAGGCTGAGTGTCTTGTTCAAGATCATGAACAGATAAATGGCAGAGCCAGGATTAGAACCTAAGTTTATCTAATTCCAGAACCAACTATGACAATCTTATTCATTCTACCACAGTGTACTGGGTACCACCAGGTATATCCTGGCCATCCAGACCAGGCTCTGAGGAGAAGCCTTCTGAGAATTCACACAAGACAGGTGGTTTCCCCTTCTAGAAAGCTCTGCATCCATTTGTGCATTCATTCAGGCTCTCTCAGGAAAACACAGGCAAAGGGTTCAAGACCGCAAGGCAATCCTGAGTGAGGGGGTTTACAGGGGGCACAGGAGATTCCTTCCAGAGCTCTGTGGTCGTGCTCATATGCTGTACAGACTGGGGGCCATGCTGGGGTATCTGCGATCTGAAAATTCCCCACGTCCCACTTCCTCACTCTGAGCCCAGTGTCAGGCAGGTGCTGCATGTGCACATACACATGAATCCTCAACACCATGTCTAGCTCTCCTCCCTCCCTGTTGGGTGCCAGGGAATGCCAACTGCAGAACCAACCTGCAATGCCAGGAACCGAGCCTTCAACCAATAAACACGGACCACAAACTCCAGCCAGCCATCCTCAAACAGGTCCCGCTGGGATGAGGCAAATGATAGCTGCAGGAGGTCACCCAGGAAGTGGGTTCCTGGGAAATCAGGCCCAAACCTGCCATTCACCACACCAGCGGGGCAGCTCCGAGGAGACACTGAAAACCATTCAGGCCGGAACAAGTCAGCTTCATGTGTACGGTCCAAACACCCTTCTCCTCCCTAGAGGTTGCCCTCAGCTCTCACCATACTTGCTTTAGTGTCTTGGAGTGCCCTGAGCCCCTTGGAGCCTTACAGCCTCTCAAGTGGCAAGGATCAGAGAAGTCAGAGAATCAGAGAGATGCAGAGACTCCAAGGGCCCTCATTTTACATATTGAACTTTGTTCACTGGGTAGTGGTTTAAAAGTCAGAATGACCCACATCATCCAGGAAAATTATTGGGACACATAAATTATCAAGTGATAACCTGATAAATCTGATCCTATTTTCTTTAATCCTGAATAGAAAAAAAGCAGGCAGGTGACTTCCTCTGGGAGCTCAGCTACTGCTAACTATTTCTTGAGTGTCCATAGGGGTTTCTCTGGGACTCTGGATTTTCCCTGGCCCAACAAGCCAACCCAGGAAATGTGCCCACTGAAAACTAAGTCTGAATTCCATGACTCAGCTTCCCCACTCCCATTACCTCCTGGTTGCTGAGGGTTCAGAAAATTACTCCTACCACAGAACACAGAATGCCTCCTACCTGCAGAGCTTCTGCCCTTGGTCAGCAGCCACTGGTCCAGCTGGAGCTCCATGCAGGACAGAGACATCAGCATCATATCCTGCAGGAGAGGTACCGGAAGGTCAGGAATGGAGTTACAGAGTTATTAAACAGTGATGGATGGGATGAAATGAAACTAAAATTTACTTTGATAAATTGATAAAGTAAACCTACTTTCCTTTTATAATCAGTGGCTACTTGCCAGGACATAAAAAGAGGCATATGGATCCTCCTTGGAAGGAGCTAGAGATCTGCCTTCAGTCCTAAGGGACTGCCCAATGGAAGAGGCATCTCTGTCACCTACCAGGCCAGATGTTGCATCCATACTACAGCACTTAAGCCTTAAAAGTGGCTGGGTCAAGGGGCACGTGGATGGCTCAGTCGGTTAAGCATCTGACTTAGGCTCAGGTCATGACCTCATGGTTCGTGGGTTTGAGCCCTACGTTGGGCTCTGTGCTGACAGCTCAGAGCCTGGAGCCTCCTTCAGATTTTGTGTCTCCCTCTCTCTCTGATCCCTCCCCTAGTCGTGCTCTCTTTCTCTCTCAAAAATAAAAAATAAATATTAAAAAAAAAAATTTTTTTAAAGTGACTGGGTCAGGCCAGAGTACATAAGGAAGCTGAGGTCCGGAGATAAGGAGGCACCTGCCAAGCAGGCACAGCAGAGAAATAATCAACCTGGTTTGTCAGGAAACCAAAGCCTCACCTCCTCCAGCCACTCCAAACTGCCCCTGGGGGAACAGACTTAATGAGCAGCAGCTGCCAGGACACAGTCCCTGAGCTGTCCCAGTACCTCCACACTGCCCTAAGGACCTGTCAACCCCGAGCTCCTCCACTTTCTGTGCCCCCAGCCAGAAAGACCACCCAGATGGGCCCTAAAGCTCCCAGTACACCCCTCCCGGCACCCAGCCTTCCTCCTATAACAGGAGAAGGGCACCAGAGCATCCAGTATTCCCTTGAGCCTCAGGAAGCACCGAGTGGAGGAGCCTGGAGTGCAGAGTGCAGTCAGCTGGTAGGCTGGGCACGGGTTAGCCCCCTACCACCAATGGCCCCCACCACTTCCCTAAGCAACCTATTTAGCCTCTGCATTTCTATTTTCTCACCTGCTAAACAAAACGCTAACAGTCCCTGGCACCTGGAACACAGCCAAACGTTCCACTTCTGCCCACTCTCTCCACTGGCTCCCCTCCATCTCCACCACTCCACCACCAGCCCTGGTACCTGAGCCAGACCTAGAAGCACCCTCTCCCTGACCATCTCATTCCCTCACCTCCACCTGCAGCTCATCCTGTCAGCTCTACCTACAGAACCCTCCACCCCAGTGCCACCACAGTCACTCACCTGGCAACAGCCTTCTAATGGCCCTGTGCCCACTCTCAGCCCCACGTACAGCCTCCACTCAGCCTCCAGGGATCTCTCTAGACACAAACCAGGTCCCATGACTCTCCAGGGGCCCAGGTCCCAGTCCCAGGCCCACAAATGGAGGTAGCTCAACATGACAGTAACTCCATACCCACGGAAGGTCCCTGTGCCCATCCCCTGGTCCCAGTCTGACAATAGCCCTCAAAAGGCCCCTGGCCCACCTGACCTTGATGTGCTTGTTGCTGCAGTCCCTCAGCAGTGGGTTGGGCAGGCTGGTGCTGTGCCTCCTCCAGCTGTGATAGATGCTGAGCACAACCTCCGCCAGGCCCGGCGGCCACCTCAGCAGGAACTTATGGCCCATGCCCTTCAGGTAGCGCATCATCAGCTCCAGAATGCCCCCATTGGTCAGGTTTTCCAGTAGGAATGCATGCACATCCTGCTTCTCTGCCAGGGAGGGAGAAACAACTGACTTGAATGAAGGACCTTCTATGCCAGGGTCTCCCATTTTCTTTGGGAGATGAGAGGCAGGGGCGGGGCAGGGTAGGGGCAGAGGCAGAGAGCACCTATGTCCTCCTACACAGTGGTGCTGAGGCCAGGCTGCTGGGCCCCAATCCTGGCTCCAGCCCTCACCAGGTATGAGCAAGCTTCTCTGAACCTCCAGGCCTCAGATAGGTATTGAAGGGCCAACCTCCATGCGCTACCTTACAACATGCACTCAACAGTTGTGTCATGTGCATTTGACTTGCAAGGCCATACCCCTGGCTTCAGCCTGAAGCACGTGTCCTTCAGGGAACACAGTCAAGTACGAGCCCAGACATTTCAGCAGACCTCCCAGCTGACCACGGAGCTCAGGCGCAAGACAAGTCAAGGCAAACCCTTGACCATACTTTATCCCAGAACCATTTTCCCAGTACAAAACCTAAGCAGGCTATACAGAATAATGGGAGGAAGAATTCCCACAAGTTACTCAATTCTTACCAGACTCCATAAACGTAGCTGAGTCAAACGACAGTCTATGAGGTCCAATGTTCGGGAAGCTTTGCAGTTTGGCTTCTGACTGCACTTCATAGGTATTAAAGGGATCATCTTCTTCCTCCGGGTCCAGCTTTCTTAGCCTGCATGGAACACACCAAAATCACAAAAATGATACCACACCACACATTCTGAAACAAGCACGCGAATTCTTCCAAAGAGAGAAACTAAAACTGAGCAAGAGGGAAGATGCTAATGAGCGAGTGGCGGGATCCAAAATCCAGGCCTCCGGGAGGCTCTGCCTCTTTCTAGGCCTTTGTGAGCTGGTATCTAGTCTATACCCTCACTCATTCATTCATCCCACCAATAGGATGTGTTGATCCCTGATCAACTGGTGACCAGGCATGTGCCAGACACTGAAATTCAGCTGTTAGTGTGGCAAAACCTGCCCACAGTAAACTTGCCTTCTGATGGGAGAGACAGAAAATATACAGAAACACAAAGACAAAGAGCCCACATGAGGACCAACCACCAGAGAGTGCTTAAGACAGAGTCACAGGGGACCTCCTTTAGAGAGCTGAGTCAGGATGATCTCTCAGAGGGGGTAATGTCTATGTGGACAATGGAAGAGAAGGGACTAGCTGTGCAAAGCAGCAGGACAGATACAGAGGCACAGGCCAGAATAACACCAGGTGTACATTCTAAGACCTGTACACCTGGTCTAAGCTGGAGCCCAGCTAGCAAGGATAAAGTGGGTGAGTGGCATATGAGGGCACAGAAGATCCTTCTGAGCTTGGTCCCTCAATGGCTCCTCACAAAGCCGTGGGCCTGGGGAGGACCATTCTTTCAGCACCTCCCAACGACCACGTTTTGGCCTTCCTTATAGCTTCCCCTCAACCAAACAACCCTGAAGCATAAACACATAAAATAGGGCACTTTTCAATCACTTCATTCATTCATTGCACACACACCCCCATAGTGGCTACTGCAGGTGAATTGTCATGTTGTTCTTGCCTGACCATTTGAAGAAGCAGACATGGAAACCTACAATCAAAATAAAGATAAAGAGGGGTGCCTGGGTGGCTCAATCGGTTAAGCGGCCGACTTCACCTCAGGTCATGATCTCACGGTCCGTGAGTTAAAGGCCCAGTGAGACTCTATTACTGTCAGAGGCGGAGCCTGTTTCAGATTCTGTAAATACCCTCTCTGACCACACCCGTTCATGCTCTGTCTCTCTCTGTCCCAAAAATAAATAAACGTTAAAAAAAAAAAATTTTTTTTTAATAAATAAATAAAGATAAAGAAGCCACAAACCATTTCCATAGGAATGGCTGGAGAGCAAGAATGGCACATGGCTGGCTCAGTGGGTAGAGCATGCGATACTTGATCTCAGGGTTGTAAGTTTGAGCCCCACAGGTGTAAGTTACTTGCAAAAACTTTAATGTTTATTTATTTTTTGAGAGAAGGGCAAACACAAAGCGGGAGATGGGCAGAGACAGAATCTGGAGGAGACACAGAATCCAAAGCGAGCTCCAGGCTCTCTGTCAGCCCACAGTCCGACACAAGGCTCAACCTGAACGTGGATCACAACCTGAGCAGTTTGGATGTAAATAACTGAGCCACTCTGATACATAAAAAATTTTTTTTTAATAAAAAAAAAAAAAAAAAAAAAAGCCAGACCCTTCAGCTTGAGCTGAGGAAGATGGGAAATGGGTCTGCCTCAATTCTTATTATCATAGCCCCAACCTGCAGCTGTCCTGAAGGGAGACTAACTCCCTGGCTAACCCTGAAGGAGAGATTTATCAGAAATTTTTGATCATCCTCTGCCCAGAAACAACCCTGATTTTCCAAGCACTTCCCACCTCCAAAAGAAAGACAACAAATGAAGAAAATGGGAATCTTGCTATAAAATGGATTCACAATCCATCTAAAGCTTTGGCTCTCCTTCTGCTTGACTATTGTCACCCACAGAGTGAAAATAAACTCCACTTCAATCACCAGCTGAGGACTCTGGACAGCCCTAAAGCTGGGGGGGGGGGGGGTGCCTGAGTCCAGTCAGTTGTGTCTGGTCACAGATCTGGAATTTCAAAACTCCGATTCATGATCCCAGGGTCATGGGATAAAGCCTCACATCGGGCTCCATGCTGAGCATGGAGCCTGCTTAACATTCAATCTCTCTCTCTCTCTCTCTCTCTCTCTCTCTCTCTCTCTCTCTCACACTACCACCTCCACTCCTCCCTCCGCCCCTCTCCCCTGCTCAAGCTCTCTTTATAAATAAATAAATAAATAAATAAATAAATAAATAAGCAAGCCACCCAGCCAGCCAGCCTGCTGAATATACACAGTTACCTCCCAAACTATTCCAGTAACTGTGAAGGGATAAAAAGGTATGAACTCACAAAGACACAGGGGATAGGAGAGGAAGCCCTAGCAGACAAGAAACATGCCCACCAAATGTCAGATGGCAGCAAGATGATGGAACAGCACAACTCTCTCCACTCAGCTAAGAGCAGGGGAGGAGGCATCAGGAAGCCCACCTACTGGTACCATAAACAAAGGTGCCCAGGATGACTCAGGAATCAAGAACCCGGGAACCTTTGGAGGAGGTAGGGAGACAAGGACAAAAAGCAAGAGGCCTAGTGAAAACAGGCTTAAGGAACATTGGATCCCAGGCCCCTCCCAACTTGGGGCAGCCTGAGCACTGCTCCTCCCTTGAGGCTTCTCTGAAAACACTAGGAACTGGCGAAAGCAAGAGGATTTACAAACCTATCCTCTTCCTCCTCAGAATTTGAGGGAATCCTACTGAGCCTGGAGAAACCAAGCACGCATACTCTTCCCCAAAGCAGAATGGGTGCTCCCTTCTGTGGGGTTTCCCAGAGTCTGCACGCCAGCAGCAATAGCCCTAGGCCTCCCAGCAAGTGGGTGTCTGTGCATGCATGAGGACATGGGCGAGTAGCCTCTAGCTCGGTGATCCATCCATCTCCTGAGGGCCCAAGGAGCATGCGGTCCTCCAAAAGATGTGCAAGTCATGGCTCCTGACTCAGGAAGTTCAGAGGGAAGAGAAGTGAGAAGAACCCAAGACCCCAAACCAGTGACATCTGTGCTTTGGCTATTGGCACAGATGTCATGGGGACACAAAGGAGATGCCAGGGAGGGGGTGGCAATGGAAGGAAAAACTTTATTGGTGGCACAGGCTGGAGGCTTATATGTTTGCTTATTTTTGCAAATGAGAAAACATCTGCATAGTACCTAGATGGCAAGAATTTCATCAGAAGCTCCTGGAAGTCTACTTTCTCTTCTTTCTTGCACTTAGTGTTTCGTACACGGGCAGAACGCCGCTTCGCGGTCTCTCCACTCTCTTCTGCAATCTTCTTCCGTTTTACTCCTTTCTTGGATTTATCTCCCCCAGAAACATCACCTTCACAAAGAGTGCAAACTGAAATCTTATAAGGGGCAGAGGTAAGAAAACGCACCAAAGAGGCACATTAGTGCCCCTAATTTTCTAATTCCACCAGTGTATTTCATCTTTATTTCTGACATTCAAGTAACTGTTCGTCTTTTAACAAGAGTCCTGAATAAAGTTAATTTCAAACTCAAAATACTTAACTCATACCTTGCTTGAATTCACAGAACCCAAAAGCCAAATCTCAAGATTATTCCCACAGCTACAGAACACCAGGGTCTCAAAGACTCCCTGTCCACCCCCACCACACCCCCACTGGCTGCAAGTGCCTCTGGCGCCTCAGTGGATGTACCTGGGACATCACAGAGCAAACAGCAGCAACATTGATTCTGCCCACTGCCCAGGACCTTCTAAGCACCCAATGATAGGACACAAGCAAGAGAATCGTATGCATTACACAGAGAGCAGAGGAGTGTTATGTGTGATTGTCATGTATGATTAAGCAAAAAAGTTAGAACCAACATACATGTTCATTCAGAAACTTCTTTAACTGCTAGATATTCTTTTTATCAGGGACACAGAAATCAAGAAAAGGCTTGGAACTTTTGTCTGAAATTTTTTTATAACTTCATTGACATTGATTATAAAAAAATCAATAAAACCATTAAAAAATATATTACCATATAGTGGTAACTTTGCAGACTGTTTTTTTCAATATATGAAATTTATTGTCAAATTGGTTTCCATACAACACCCAGTGCTCATCCCAAAAGGTGCCCTCCTCAATACCCATCACCCACCCTCCCCTCCCTCCCACCCCCCATCAACCCTCAGTTTGTTCTCAGTTTTTAACAGTCTCTTATGCTTTGGCTCTCTCCCACTCTAACCTCTTTTTTTTTTTTTTCCTTCCCCTCCCCCATGGGTTTCTGTTAAGTTTCTCAAGATCCACATAAGAGTGAAACCATATGGTATCTGTCTTTCTCTGTATGGCTTATTTCACTCAGCATCACACTCTCCAGTTCCATCCACGTTACAGACTTTTTTAAGGTCAATGTCACCCTCAATGTCAGCGCACAGCAGTGCCCAGTGCTATGGCACATGGCCAGCAACAGGGCAGAACCAGCAAAGGGACCTGCCAGCTCACATATGACAAGTGGGAAGAGCGACCTTTATGCCAGGACCTACTAGCCAGGCGTTTAGCAGTCCTAAGCAGCTGCATCCCTGAGCTCTGACCCCCTCCCCTCGGGGGCTTCAGTGCTGAAGTGACCCCTGACCAGCAGCAGCCCTGTGGCCAAGCCTCCCCTGCAGAGCTAGGGGCTCCCACCTAAACCTTGAGCCAGGAGCATGAGCAAGACCCATCTCTCTGGAGAGGCCAGGGCATCACAACACTCATTCTTGCCCAGCAAATGGGGCCTCCCCAGAAGTGACCCCAGGAGGTTTCCTCACCTGCAGGAACACCAGTCTCCAGCAGGCTGGGACTATGCAGTGGGAAGCTGGCTGCAGCCACAGGGGCATAGGAGACCACGGGTTCTGCCACAGTCACAGCTGGATTGGCAGGGATGGGGCTTGGTTGGATCACGCTGACAGGTGCCACCACCACAGAAGACACCAGAGGCTGGCTGGGGTCCTGATAGTCAGACAGGTCGATCCTCTTGCCGAGGCTGGGCCGCAAGGGCTCACAGGTGGTGAGGTGGTTGTACATGGCCAGTAAACTCTCCCCGAGACACTTCCAGCTGCAAGAAGAGGGTCACCACACCTGGTCAGCACCCATAATCAGGTGCTCCAAGCCTGTGGAGAGGCGGCAGAACTGGCCCCATGACTGCCATCTCCATGAGGGCAGGCCGAGTGCTCACGGTTTTGTCGTCATCGGTACGGACAAAATCCCGAGTCTAACACCACTGAGGTGGAGCAGACGGAGCAGGAGGAGCAGGGCCCAGCAGCCTCCTGCCCTCACCCTGGCACAAGCCGTGAAGCAGCTCAGGTACCTTCAGACTCCACCAAGCAGGCATGAAAACCACTGACTCACTTCAAAAGCTCCTTCCCTACAAGGTCGAATTTTTAATTCATCTGTGGCATTTCTCTGATGCCACTAATCCTATTTTTGGTTGGGGGAGAGGAAGGTGAAGAGGGGCTGCTAACAGGGATGTGGTCGAAAGCGGCTGAATGGGCCCTCGGGCAGGGCCCCTTGGGAGCAGCATCTCAGTGGGTCCCCACCTGGGCCGAGGCCTGCAGCATGGCAAACCAAGACCACTGTGTGCTGTGGTGTGTGCTATGTCGTATGTCGTATGCTGTGTGCTATGTGCTATGACAGGTGTCTGTCTTACTGTGGTGTGGTATGATATACTGTACGCTGTCTCTCGCTTCATGCTTTATGTTGTTATATATTGTGTTGTGGTCCGATATGGTGTGGCACGATATATCCACCCACCCATCTCTGATTGGCTTCCCATGCTCAGGCTAAAAATCACACCCTCAGCCTCAGGGCGCCACATGGCCTCGTCCAGCCAACTGACCCAGCCTCACCTCACACTCCACCCCCACCCTCCCACCATACTAGCTTTCTTTCGATTCTACAAACAAAATCATACCCCTACATACCACAGGAACTTTGCACAGGCTTCTTTCTACCCCCGATGAGGCTCTCACTCACATCCCAGCCCCTCTGCCACTCCTGTCAGACTCCAGCTCTAGCACCTAAGCCTTTCCCTGAACCCCAAAGCAGTGCACACTCCATTATGAGCTCTGCACAAGGTGCTGTGCTACTCTCCTCGAAGGCTCCTCAGCATGAGGCATGTGCTTTTTCTTCCAGGTGACCGACTACCCCTCAAATGCCCCCAGAGAGGGACCAGGTCCCACCATACTGAGTCCCCAGCACAGAGCACAGTGCCTGGCACGAAGCTGGCACCCAGGAAATGCTATGGAAAGAATACAAATGGAAGATGCTTTAAAATCCAGAACCTAACCAAATGGAGGCTCCTAGGACTAGAAGGGATTTCTTACCTGTTCTTTTCCAGTCTTCAGTAAGGGTTACGTGCAGATGGGGAAAAATTTGCTCACCATCTGTGTTATATCTAATGCCTTAAATACACAATTTCATATACCTAGGCAATGAATAGACCAAGGGGTGGCAAACTGTGGCCCACAGCCTGTTTTGTACAGCCCACAAGCTAAGAACAATATTTGCATTTATAAAGGGTTGTTACACACACATACCCGAGAAGACTATACAACAGAGATGAGACCTGGCCCACAAAGCCTAAAGCATCTACCATCTAGTCCTCTGTGGGAGGAGTGTGCTGAGGCCTATAATAGACAATGGTTATTTTAAAAGCCCCACCCACCCTCCCAGAGAGAGAGAATCTCTGCACTCTTCCTCTAATAACCCAATCCTGGACTTCACTACCAACTAGTGCTTCCTCCAGCCAAGCCCACTCCCCTCATGCTTCCATTTGGCCTTCCGCCTGCATGAGGGCAGGCTGGACACTGGTTTCACAGCTTCTCTTCTCTAGTCACATCACCAGGATGCTCTCCAGCGTTCTCAGGCCTTTCTCTCCTTCACTGTAACAGGGAGACATCCAGGGTCCTTCCCAAAGTCCCAAACCTCTTAGCTAGGGAGCCCACACACTCAAACAGAATGGGGCTCCTGACCCAGCCGACAAAATAATGGGAAGGCCATCTGACTAGATGGCAGAGCAGCCCCAACTTTCCAACCGTCTCAGGGTCCGGGCGGGAAGACATTCCTGGCAGACTTAACATGTGGAAACATACCAGCAAGTCATACCATGGATCGAAAGCTAGCTCCTCCTGAGCGTGTGCCAGGTGCTGGCTCTGTGCTGGCCAAAGCTGCTCTATTTCAATATCATGACAACCCTACAAGAGACAGTTGCTCTCCCTGTTTTTAGGGAGTGGCATGTAGTATCCCAGGGTCACCCACTTATGGGTGCCAACACCAGCCCCGGGTCTGCCTGATCCAGGGCAGAAGCTGCAGACCACTACGTGACAACACCTGAGTAGGGGAACACTGCTGTCAAAGCATACTAAATTTAAAGATTCAGGATTCAATGTCAGAATTTTAAAAACAAAAACTGCATGCCAGATCTCACGAGGGGGCAGAATGACCCCAACTCTGGGAGGCTGCCAATACCAGTTTTCTCTTCCCTGGGGACTGCTCACACACTGTGGGATTCACAAAGGCTATCCTGAAGCCCATCCTTCAGTGCATCCCACATAGCCCTTGAGGGAGACCACGGGTTCAAGAGCCACAGAACCCACACCTGGGATCAACTCCAGACTCTCCATTCACCATTTCACTGCTCTGAACCCAGTTTCCTCCTGTCCAGTGCTTGGCAAATGTTAGTTTCATTTTCCCCTCCGGGAAGGGCAGACTGAGAAGGGGTTTACAGGGAGGTGGCAGGTGGCTGGCATCAAGAACGGCAAGAGCAAAGAGAGACTTAGATGAGGCACACTTGTGAGAGACTTGGCCTGCTTCTTGGCAACCAGCAAGTTAAGTGCACGCCTCTAGGCATCTGTCCAACGTGGACCCAGCTCCCACTCACACCATCAGCCCGGGCTCAGGCCTCGGGGCCTCTCCCTCCTGTGCAGGGTCCACCCGCCAACCCAGCAACCCCAGAGACCCAGATGACGACCTACGTGAAGAAGGGGATGGGCTGCACCAACTTCAAGTCTGGCTCCTTCTCCCGCACGGTCAACGCTTGCCTCTTCTTCCGCAGCCCCAGGGCCTCCTCTACAATGGCCTTCGTCTCAGCTGCGCTCACTGACACATCATGGATTGACATGTCACTAAAACCATGTAAGACACAGAAATTATAATGTCACAAACTAGAGCCAAGGCTGAAATTTTACAGACAGGGATGCAGTTAAGTTAATATCCTTTAATCTGTATTCATTCTTCTTACAAATAAAATAACCCCTTCAGTCTGGCCTCTAAGGGCAGTAATTAGCATTCTTAATACCCACATACACTAGAAGTGACTAATACCCTTTGTTCCTTCTACAATTCAAAATTGAGCAAAGGGTTTTCATATGTATTAACAATACGACAGTAATGTCAGAAAAGCCACAGAAAAATATAACCTTGCTCTCAATTATGTACAGAGAATTTTAAAAGAACTTTCCTATCCTGTCCTATCCAAAAAAGTCATCAGACCCCCCAAACTCACCAAAGTCCCTGGTATATCCAAACTAGAGAAAGGGTGGGTGGGGGCTTTGAGGCCTCAGGTGCCCTCACACAGACACACCTCCACCTGAGGTGGCCCAGCAATACCTGCCCTCCTGCCCAGGGTGTCCTGATGCCTCTCAGCAGGGCTCTACCACAAAGTCACTTGCTTATGGATTTATTTTTCCATTTTATCTCTCTCCAAAGACGGTTAACACCATCAGGATAGATATGAACAAGAAGTATAATCTCACAAGGGACAGACAGAGATAAATATCCATCACCAGCTGAGTTCCAAGGGCCAAGGACCAGAGGACAGAGGAGTTGGTTCATCTGGAGGGTTGGGGGAAGAAGACAGCCAGAGTTTGGAAAGCTAACCAAAGGTGACCTGTGAGCTGGAACACAAAGATGGAGCAATGGCACAACAGGTGGAGAGGAGGAAAGATGCCTTCCAGGTGAGGGCATGAGGGAGCCAGGGCACAGGGACAGGTCAGTGCACAACGGGGCCAGGCCTGGAATCTGTTGGGGACCCCAGGGCACTCTTCTCCCCCGGGAGGGAGAAGGGGGAAGCAAGGAGAAGAACCAAGGGGGTCAGACTCTAAAGGACCTCCTAGGTGATGTACTGAGCATGTGCTTTGTCCTAGAGGCAAGGCAGGGGTGGCACAGGGTCAAGGTCATTTCTGGGACACTGAACATGGGAATCACTGGGAGCAAAGCCCTACAAAGGGAAATGGTAAGAAGGCAAGGTGGACAGCAGGTTACTGCAAACATCCAGAGGACAGCTGGTGAATGCCAAGAGCCAGCAGGGCAGTAGGAAAGGAGGGCAGCAGAGAGCCAAGGAGGCACCACCATGATTAAGCATACAGGCAAGTAATAAGCAAGGGCAGGATCAAAGCCAGGTGAGGGGGTAGTGCGGGGAATGAAGTGCAGGGGCTCATCTGCCAGAAGGTCAGGACCTGAGAGAAGGCGGTGCACACGCCTCCTGATATCCACCAACCACACATTGCTGGGGGAGGAGGGGTGCAGAACCAGCGTAGGAAGAGGCAGGACCCACCATTTAAGGAACATTCGGAGGGAGTCCTTCCGGAGACAAGGCTGTTCTTCAAAGATCTTTTCCTTGAGAACCAGTCCTTTGCTGTACCGGCAGTCCTTCTCCAAAGCTTTGCAGATGAAGTAGAGACATGCTGGCAGGGAAAGAAACAATACGACCTCTGAGCTTGCACCCCAAACCTCTGGCCTTCCCAGTTAACACCAAGAAAATGTCCCTACTCTGGAATGGAAGTAATGATGGTAAACAATAAGGAGATACCACTTTACCTAATTCAATCAGGAAAGATACTGAAAATACTATCACCCACAGTAGATGAGGCAAACCCAAATGCCGCTATGTGAGGACGGACTGTATGATCTTTCTGGAGAACCGGAGGCGTTACACACAAACCCTCGGCCCAACAATCCACCTCGGGGAACTACTGCAAACACCTAAAGGCCCACAGTGATTGGCTATTGGCTAACCGGAAGACAGCCTTCAAAAAAACCAGGAAACCACCCTGCCTCACCAGGGGAGCCTAGTTAAGGAAGGCTTCCCCAATCCACACACTGGGTTGCTGAGCGGCCGCCACACAGATGGTCGAGAGTGTGCTCACTGACCAGAGGAAAGGCCACAGGACAGCATGGGGAGAAGGCAGGAAACCAAACAGGCCACACGGTGTGACTCCATTTGTATACATAATACCAGCTTCTGTTCCTTCTGCTTATCTGTATTTTCCAATTTTCCTCCTCCTCTTTTTCTTTTCTTTAAACTCTCCTTACCAAAAACAGCTACTGCTTGTAATTAAATACATGTACACCATTCATGTCAATGAGCCTCCTCAAATCAATGATCTGGAAAGTCTGTGCCTTCTCCAGCTCCTCCAGGACTAGAGACAATAACAGGCAAAGCAACATAGAGAAAAAAATGGGAGGGCGAGAAATCACAAAGCAGAGCTACGATGTGAACTAGGAAAACCTTTAGCATTTGTAAGTGGGATTAGCCCAACAGACAGGACTGCCATGAGTCCCCAGCAGACTCGGTGCCTGCAGGCCTCACCTGTGAACACACAGGGAAATGGTACAGTGCAGCCAAGTGCCAGCTCTGCTTTTGCTGGGCACTTGGACCACTACCGTGCTCTGCTCAGCTTCGGGATCTGAGTGTGGATGGATTGCAAGACACTCCTATCAAGAATAACCAGACAAAGAAGGAGCCAGGACTAAGGAGGAAAGAAAGAGCAGAAGTAGAGATGTGGGCATGGGAGCTTTGAGAGACAGAAGGAAGTGGTGTCCTCCTAGAGTTCCATAGGAGGAGAAAACAGAGCCTAGTCACAAAGTTCCACAGGTACCACACTGCCCCCCTGCAAGGCACACAAAGGCTGTGCAATCTGTGAGCAGGAAGGGCCCGGGTAGTCCCAGCATAGCACAGAAAGCAGCTGACTGAAGAGCTGCTAGATAGCCCGCAGGCTCCTGCCCCACACAAACAAGAACATGGTCTCTCTGGGACCACAGACACCACAGACACCCAGAGAGAAAACCAAGGAGGCCCTGAGCATTTGACGATGCTGGCTCTCAGCAGGCATTCTGGCTGCAGTAAAGCTCACCGCTCTAGCTGCACTACACCACTGTTCCCACAGAGGGAAGGCCTAGGAAGTCCCAAGGGAACAAGAGGTGGTCAGCAGGCATCAACCCCAAGCACCCTGCCTCCTCATCTCAAGTGGATTAAGTGCCGCTGGGAGTTGATACCACATGCTGCTTTTACTTTGGGGTTTCAATGAGCATCAGGTCAATCAGGGCAGGGCTCTCCCAGACAGCACAGCCATTCAGTCCCCCAGGCCTGTTTTCCCCCAAGGACAACTTCTCTCACCGTGAGAGAGGAGTGCAAAGAACTAAACCAGGTGGCTGGGGAAAAGGAAGGCAGAACACAAGCCTGTCCACCTCAAGGTGGCACCCAAGCTGCTGGAAAAGCTTCCAAGAGGAGCTTAAACACCCTTGGAAGAAGAAGCTGTGAGGGTCCAAAGGTGCCCCACAAGGACTCACATTCTGCTAGTGGGGGGTGAAAACTGCGGCAACCGACAAAACAAGTGCTCTGTCCACCAGCGGATGCACACAAGAACATTCACAGCAGTGAATGCAAAACCTCAACTCTGGAAACGACCCAGTGTACAAGCACAGAATGGTCAAATTGTGTACACACGTAACAGATGACAGGGCAATAAAAAGGCCCTAGCGACTGCCTGGGTGCACTCATGGACAGGAAGACCACAGTCACAGGAGCCAGGCTGTGAAGGGTACATACCGCCATCTGATGCTACATAGAGGAGGCTTGACAACAAGCAGAGCTCATCTCTGGTGAGTGACAAAAGGGAGAAATCAAGATCACCTCTGGGGTGATAATGACTGGAATGGGACCCAAAGCAGCATGCCTTCTGGGGCTCTAGAAACAATCTGCATCTTGATTTGTTTTATGTATACACACTGTGCACTGTGTGTGTGTTCTACTTCAATTAAAGAGCTTTAAAAAGTGGTTGTGAAGAACCAGAGGTGGACAATCGTGAGCAGGGCCTAGTGCTTCTCAAAATAATCCATGCTATTTGTCTTTAAAAAAGGATGGTGGTATGCTCGGTGGTGGCTCCTAGTTGCCAAGACCCCCTGCCCAGACTCATGATCTCACAGCTGCCAGGGTCTGTCTGCATTGGCTCCAGTGCTGAGGGTGCCCAGAGCCCTGAGCTCACAGATCTCAGGTGTCTCCCTCTCACTCTGCCCCTTCCTGGCTTGCACTCTGTTTGTCTCTCTCAAAAATAAATAAACACTTAAAAAAGGGCAGGGGGCCCTGGTAGGGCTCTTGCGGTTGGATCCGGACTCTCAAGCCAGGTCACGTCTGTCGGTCCACAGTCGGCCCCTCCCTGACCCCAGTCAGGCTCCTGGGCTGAGTTGAGCTCGTTTTGCCCTGGACTCCCAGTGCCTCCCCTCTCTCTCCTCCCCTGTTCATGCCTGTCTCTCTCCACCTCCAAAATAAATAACGCCATTGAAAAAAAATTAAAAAAAAAAAAAAAAAAAGGGGGGCAGGGGAGGAGCCTCTGCCAGTCAGTCTTCCAGGCTTAGAATGATGGCAAGTGCTCATCAGCATGTTTCTCCTAAAAAGAATAGCAGCTCAGCCACATACAGAGCACCTTCACACACCAGACCAGCCTGCAGCAAACACAGTCAGCTCACAGAGCCCTGGGCTCCCACTGCACTCAGCCCTGCTCTGAGCACTCCTGGAGAGCCTCTTTCCGCTCTGGCCTCAGAGGACACCCAGAGGATGCTAACTCCCAGAACATCTAATCAGTGCCTACCTCAGGACCAGCCCATGCAAGGGACAGAGGTGTTCTCTGCAGAGCAGATGTCAAGGCTGGAGCAAAGGAGCTTAAGCAATTAGAGGGCAGACTGGGGCTCCATCTGGCAGAGACCTTCCCAGTAGCCCTGCTGCTCTGCAAAGGAAGAGACTGCCTCCAAGGACAGTGAGGTCCCAGCACCAGAAGGAGTCAAGCGGCAGCTGCTAGGCTCTCTGTCAGCAAGTTATAGAAAGAGTTTCTGGCACAGGATGGGACAATGCAAGGATGAAATGAGATAACCAAAGGAAAAACCACTCAGAGAACATGCCACCTATTACTACAATGCTCTTGATAAATCTCATTTGAGTAAGACAGACACACGCAATAAAGCAGGAATGCAAAGTCATCTCCCTTTCCTGATAGTTAGGCAGAAAGCCCTTCAGTGTTAACCTGGCCTCCAACTTACCCAAGCTGTCCTCCCTTCTCTGTCCCAAAACCACAAGCACATGGGAGAAAGCCATCAAAGCCTGACTCACTTGTGTAATCACTGAGGGTGTACAGGACAGTGATGAGGTTGTCCAAGCAGGGCCAGTGGTCAGGATTGCACCGGAGCCCTTCCTCAAAAGCGTGGCGAGCCAGGGGGACCCGGATGAGCCTCAGGGCCACGTGTCCAATTTTATACCAGAGGTTGACATCCGTGGAGTCCAGCATGACTGCCTAGAAGGAGCACAAACAGAGTGTATTCACAGTCAGTCAGCTCTCTTGCTGAACAGGCACCCAGTGGTGATGGGAGGGACATGGCACTGGCCCAGCCACTCAATCTACCCAGAAAAAATGGCAAATACAAGGTACATGAATCAAATGATCAAATTCAGAACATTTTCTTGACATACTTTGTCTCTCTGAACATCTGTATTCCTTACATAACTGATAGATAAAAGAAGCGAAATTACCATTAAAATAGGTGATCTGTGGGGTATTTCTATTAGATTTAAAATTTTAATTTAATTTAAAAAAAAATTTTTTTTAACGTTTATTTATTTTTGAGACAGAGAGAGACAGAGCATGGACGGGGGAGGGGCAGAGAGAGAGGGAGACACAGAATCGGAAGCAGGCTCCAGGCTCTGAGCCATCAGCCCAGAGCCCGACACGGGGCTCGAACTCACGGACAGCGAGATCGTGACCTGAGCTGAAGTTGGACGCTTAACCGACTGAGCCACCCAGGCGCCCCATAAAATTTTTAATTTAATTTTAAATTGTGGGATCCTAGAAAGATTATAGGCTAGAGACAGACCTCAGTTCACATCCCTGTTTCTACACTGACTAGCAGAGTGATCCCGAGCCTCAGTCCCCTCATCACTAAAATGAAGATGAAGACACCTTCCTGCAAGATGGTGCAGAGTTAGCACATGCATGGAGAGCAGTTCGCATGGTGTAGAGCACATCAGGGGTACCCACCGAGACGGTGACGGTAACACAGAAATCATGGCGATACGGCAATGAGCAGGAGCAGGGTACCAGGGGGCAGGCTGTGCTCTCATAACTTGTGTATGTACCAATTCATTTAATTTTCATAAACACCCTCCTTCTTACTATGCCCACCATCCTGGTATGGACCTGGAGGCCCAGAGAGGGTACGCACACACACCTGAGTGGCAGAGGACGAACGCACATGCGGGCCCCTGCTCTCTCTGAACTCCCTGTTACCACCCGCTGATGAAGGTCTCAGGCACCACAGCTCAGCAATGCGCCACTACAAGTTCTTCTCTTTAGCCAATAAGACCACAACCTCACCCCCTCCACCGAGAGCTTTCAAAAACCCTGAGGGAGCTGAGCGCTGCCAAAACCACACCTCCAAGTAGAATTCCATGGCTGTCTCCAGGTCTTCTCGCTGGGCTGCCAGCTGGGCCAGGTTCTTATATGTGGAATATTTCAGCATCAGCCCAGGGTGCTTCAACCCTTCTTTCTCATCACCAGACGAAACTGCCTATAAACAAAAACAGAGACACCTAGAAGGGACACCTAGGCCTTGAAGCCTCGGCAGGCAGTCAGCAGGATACCTGACTTCCGGGCTGGTCTCTGCCGCAGGCCCTTGGCCCAGTCCGGTGGCACCGTCCATTGGAAAATGAAAGCACTACGCTAGATGTTCTTGGGGGACCCCTCCAGCTCCAAGCAGACAGAGAAGAAAAGTCAGACCACCACAAGGCAGTTTGCAGATAGTCTGGGAACGAAAAGAGACAGGGGGAACCCTCCCTATCACTACAGCCATGCCCGAAAGGTCAAGCCTGGAGCCCACAGCTCCCCCACATCACCAAGCCTACAGAGGGGGAACAGGGCATGAGGAAGCCACCTAGGGGCAGCAGCAGGATCTGGAGGTGCCTAGGCAGCCAACTAACACATCTCTACACATTCCGCAGCAGGAAGACTATTGGATTAGGAGTCAGGAAGCTAAGCTCCCACCTCTGTAATCATCACATGACTGTGGATAAGTTACCTTAACTAAAAAGTTAGTGCCCCAAGGGCCTCTGATTTATAACAGTAAATCCTACCCTAAGTATCAAAAGTGCAAACGAGACAGGAGAACGTAAAGATTGTAAACGTGCTTTATATAGAAAGTTACTTCACTACAGCTTTTATGAAAACTCTTTGAAAATGCTACAACTTCTAAGACATCCCTGATGAGACAAACTACTGCTCTAACCATGGGACAAGGAGTAAAACATTTACTAACAGAAAAACTCGGTGGCGCAAAGAAATTCTTTCCAGGGGCAGGTCCAAATCCCAGCCTTGTCCTGGGACAGGTCACCCCCACACATCATTCTTCATGGTCAGGACAGATAAGATCTGAGGACATGCACACTTTAGGACACACCCCTTGACTAATCCCAAGAAATCTACCCTAGTGTCTTAAGGAATTGCAACAAGAAGACTGAAAGGCTCAAATCAGGCTTCATTCACGATCTTTTCCTGTCGTCTGGCTTATGCTGCAGAAAGATTCCCAACGACAGGGTGACCAAGGCTGGACACCAGGTACCTTTGCCCTCCAGGTACAGAACTGTTCAAAAGCCCTTTTACAGAAGCTGTGTGAGTCCACCCTGGAGACTAGATAGTAAGTGGTACATCCAGACACAACAGAAGCTCTTGTCACTAACCTCCTACTTAACCAGCTGGACTCAGCACCATTCTCCATCCTCCGTGACATGCAGGCTGATGCCACAGGAGACAAAGAGCTCGCCCCAACAAGCCACCACCAGCATGTATACCAACTAAGCTGTCTGCTTCTTAGGATTCAGCTGTGTTCCATGACCTGTTTATGCCAAGTGTTTGTGCTACTATAACTACATAATTTAGTTTTTAGGTACACCAATGCCTGATGAATGTGAAAACAAACTTTTCTGTATATTTTCTGTACTTTTTGATTGTTTATGGTGACCACCTTTTACTTTTATAAGCCAGGGAGGAGAGTGCTACAGCAGTCATTTAAGACTGAAATTGATATACAGAGAGATGGACACAGCTATGGCTACAAGGCCGACATCCGGCCAGCACCCTTCTGACTCGGTGCTGTGCTCACCTGCTCACACCTCTGAGGCCCACTCTTCTGTGGTCTGAGGGAAGATCCACTCCTGAAACATATCCAGTCCCTGGCCCATGGCTGAAGTTCAGTAAAGTAGAATAAAGTCATTTTCATCTCTGGGCCCTCACTCACTTTCTACTAAAGGGGGAGGTATGGATCGCAATTCCCATGGCCCTAATTCTAAGACGCTATAACCAGCACTAAAGAATCCTGACAAGCTATCCAATTAGGAACATGAACAGATACCTTGAGTAAGAGAAGGGATAGACTCCTCATACTGACAATTAGAACTCAGTTAGCATTTTGCCTCATTAGTGGTAGAAACTATCCAGGGGTAGGGACTTGAGACACAAGTGTTTGTCTTCCTAGAGGTATAGGAGACTGCTCAACTGAAGGACTGTGTTCTAGAAAATGTCCATGGATAGCGTCTGTCTGCTTCCTTATTGCATGTCTCTGTGTTTGGTGTTTGGCTACTTGAAAACAAAACCTTTCCTCCTAATGAAATATAATTCTTCTTAAATCAATTTTAAGTTGAGACTCATTTTCAAACCTCCAGGCAACATCTCCATGACCCAGTCAACTCAGGTTGAACTCACTCATCACTAGCATGGCCCCAAGGCTGGATCCAGGTCCTGCCCTGCCTATCCCTCTCTGCCCATACCCTGTGTCCTCAGCGTGCCTCTGTGTTGTTTTTCCAGCCCTTTCTCCAACTGTTTTTCAAATGCCCACAGAGCATCTACACAGGCTTTCTGAGCTCATGGGCTATCACCCAAACGGCATTTGCCAAAATGTGTTGCCAACAGGATCATTAAGTATCAGGAAACCATAGGTTCCAATCCTGGCTCTAATGCTTCACTAGTTGGATGGCTTTGAGCTATCAACACTTCACTAAGCCTCCATTTCCACAACTGTAAAACGGGGACAACAGCCCCCACCAACTTGGCAGAGAAGTTGTAAAGAAAATGTAATAAAATAGCCGACAAAGAGTTCTTACTATGCACCAAAAACCACTCTAGATGCTTCACTGAATTCACTCAACCTTCAGGGAATTCACAGCAATCCAACGAGGCTGACACTCTACAGGTGGGAAAGCTGAGGGGCAAAGAGGGGAGGTAACATGTCCAAGGTTGCCCAGCCAAGAAGTGGGAGGGCAGAGGGCAAGCCCGCCACCTGGTCTATGGTGCCTCACCTCTCGCAGCAGGCGCGCCTCCAGGAGTTCATGGTAGGCCTTGGCTGACTCCTCAAACCGGTCATGTTTCTGGAGGTCCAGGGCCTTGTGATACAAGGCAAAAGCCTCTGCTTCCTGGGAACCAAGATAAGAGATATTCTCACACAGTATAAAGGTTTGTCATTTTTTAAGCCAAAAGTGTGTGTAAGGGAGACTGCAGTCAAGGCCATGTTAACTGACAGCTATAACCTCTGTAGTGGAAACAATTCTAATACTCCAACCTCCCAGGAGCTCATTACTATGAGAAGAACCCCTCAGGAGTCCCCCAAGGAGACAGGAGCAACACAGGCTCAACTGAGTCTAAGCAATAGCAAAAAACACTGGCCCAGGGACACAGGGTCACAGCAACAGCAAGGTTATAAACTCAGCTGGACCTTTCTGGGTGAAGCTGGGAGAGTGGCCTCACCAGCCATAATAACCCAGTGATTCCTAGAGAATAGATGGTTTCCATTGTTTTCTCCCTGCCACTCTGCCCTAGCCTCATCATTGCCCAGGGAGGGCGACAACCTCCTCCAGGACAGAGGGGGCACTGGGCAGGCTGGGCCCCACTGACATCCCTTGAGGACCAGGGATAGAGGACTAGCAGAGTTTTGAAAGGGCTCCAGACTGCCTTGGTTTCTCCTGTGAAAGAGGAGGCACATGTTTATTCCAGGGAAACCCAAGGCAGGAAGAAGAAGCGAACCACTGCTATACTAAGGCAGGACACCGGTGGAGAGATGGATGGATGGATAGATGGATGGATGGATGGATGGATGGATGGGAGGATGGGAGGATGGGAGGATGGGAGGATGGGAGGAAGGGAGGAAGGAAGGAAGGAAGGAAAGAGGCAGGCTGAAATGGAAGGAATGCCAGGCTTCATAGTAGAGAGGAAAGACCAAGAATCCAGAGAGCTGAAGTTGAACCTGGCCCCCGACCAACCCCAATCAAGGCAGCTCCCATCAAGGGCCTCCTCACATTGGAAAGTGAGGACAGTATACCAGGAAACCTCAAAGCACCATCTACCATTAATATGCTACCATCCCTTGGGTGCAATCCCTGAAGCGTGCACAAAGAATGGGTTGCATGGAAAGCTAGCCCCAGCTGGGGAAGCGGGCCCAGGAGCTGGACTGGTCCAAACACTGCTCATAGAATACAGAATTTCTCTTCAGTGTGACCATCTCTAAGTGAAGCAGGTTTAACATGAGATGGAGAACTAACTAGCTATCTTTCAAAATGGGATTTTCCTGTGAAATCCCATTAAGTCACTTGAATGCGTTTAAAATGAGGTACCACCTACAGAAATGGAAAGCAAGGTCTACCTGCAGAGGAAGACCATGGATTACATACCTGGGCCTCCTTGGTCTGTGTTTTGTGGCTTTTAAAGCTTCCTTCATGATCATCCTCAACTGTAGAGCTGGCATTTAAGGCTGCAATTCGAATCTAAAAACAGGGATTTGAGGGAGGAAAAAAGTTGCTTTTGAGATGTCACTTGTCTCTTTAACAACCTACAATGAATACAACTCTGCTCTGGCACATAATCTTTTCTACCTCGAACAGCTATGGCCATCTCAGAATCTGAGTAATGAACAACAAATGATCACTGAGAAAAAAAAATAAGGACCAGAACATGTCTGGGGGGCCGTAACAATCTATCTGGGGAGCATGTCCTGGGTACTGTTCACTGCGTAAGGAACAGACTGGGGACACCCTAGCAATGGCCAGACACAGTGGAAGACTCCAACAAAGCATGCTAACTTTGTACCTTTCTTGCAACTGTGATGAGGCCCTGCAAGCCACTCCAACAGAAGGTCAAATATCCTTACCCTCAAATGAGCCAAAAGCTCTCCCAGGAGGAAGGCTGCCCCATATTGAGTGTCACCTAGGAAAATGTCCCACATTCCCAGGAGCAAAGTGACAAAATAACACTGATGCCAGGAAAATAGGCAAGCACCAATCCTTACCATACTCAGAGAGCTTCACTGCTGCCACCGAGCACCACTTCCCATCACTGGCAGGGGCTGTGCCAGTCCACAATCTCCTAGACAGGAAACAAGAGAGACTGAGAGAGGGCCCAGGAAGCACCAGCAACATCATAGTTCCGGGGGCCCACCACGAAGCAGTTCCCAAGTCCAGGGGTCTGACCAGCTCTAAGCACACAGGCTGGTGAGCGACTGCCTTGGGACAGCTGTGATGTCACCCAGGTCCCCAGGCCAGAGCTTCTCTCTAGCCAGATAAGACACCAGGCACAGGGGACACAGAAGAGTGAGACCAACTCCTGCCCCCCCAGGGCTCACTGCTCAGCAGAGACAACAGACCTATAAACGGTTATTTTTTTCAACAGTTGAATGAAACGAAGAGAAACCCAGGCAACGTCTAACAGTGGAAAACAATTCACTTGAAGTGATCAAGGATAGTGATCAGGAATGGACAGCACTGCAGTGAAGGGTGGCTAAACAAAGAGGCGGGGGCGGGGGGGGGGGGGGGGGGGGGGGGGGGGTGGAATGGGGACACGTGCGGGTGCCAGTACAGCCCAGAGTGCAATCTTAGAGCAGAGATGGTGTGGATGATGAAAGGATACCATGCGGGGGGAACTAGGAGCTTTATCCTGTTGGCAACGGGAGCCACTGAGAGTTTCTGGGAAAACTAAATTTTAAAAATATAAACGAAAAAATATCAGAGCCAGTCTGAAGACCAGTTTTAAATTTTTTTTTTTTCAACGTTTATTTATTTTTGGGACAGAGAGAGACAGAGCATGAACAGGGGAGGGGCAGAGAGAGAGAGGGAGACACAGAATCGGAAACAGGCTCCAGGCTCTGAGCCATCAGCCCAGAGCCCGACGCGGGGCTCGAATTCACGGACCGCGAGATCGTGACCTGGCTGAAGTCGGACGCTTAACCAACTGCGCCACCCAGGCGCCCCTGAAGACCAGTTTTAGTAGACCAGTTTGAAGTCTGCAAAAAATGACAGGATTAGTGAGGATGTGAGAAATTAGAAGCTCATACATTACTGATAGGAAGGTAAAGTGGGCAGCCACTGTGGAAACCGGTCTGGTAGTTACTCAAAATGTTAAACATGGAGTTACCATATGACCCAGAAATTTCATTCCTAAGTATCTACCCGAGAGAAATGAAACACATGTCCACACCAAAACTTGCTCACAAATGTTCATAGCAGCATTATTCATAACAGCTTCAAGGTGGCAACCGCCCAAATGTCTGTCAACTGATGAGTGGATAAATAAAATGGATGGATATATAAAATGTGTTATGTTGATTATTCTTCAATCATAAAATAGACTAAAGTACTGAGAGCTGCTACAACATGAATCAACCTTGATGCTAAATGAAAGAAGCCAGTCACAAAAGGCCACATGTTGGGGCGCCTGGGTGGCGCAGTCGGTTAAGCGTCCGACTTCAGCCAGGTCACGATCTTGCGGTCCGTGAGTTCGAGCCCCGCGTCAGGCTCTGGGCTGATGGCTCAGAGCCTGGAGCCTGTTTCCGATTCTGTGTCTCCCTCTCTCTCTGCCCCTCCCCCGTTCATGCTCTGTCTCTCTCTGTCCCAAAAATAAATAAACGTTGAAAAAAAAAAAATTAAAAAAAAAAAAGGCCACATGTTGTCTGATTCCATTTACATGCAATGTCTAGAACAGGCAAATCTACAGAAACAGAAAGTGGATAATGGGCAGCAGGAGAGGGGCAAATGGGGAGTAACTACTAATAGGTACAGGATTTCTTTCTAGGGGGATGAAAATGTTCTAAAATTGGTTATGGTGACAGTTACACAACTCTGTGAACACACTGAAAACTACTGACTTACATACCTCACATAGGTGAACTACACGGTATGTGAATTACATGCTGTCATTAAACAAAGAGATGACAGGAACTTGGATGGGGCAGTGGTAGTGGACAGAAGGGACGCACTCCAGGAGGCAGGCTCACAGGACTCAGCACCAGGGAGCCTGGAGGTAACAGAAGGTTTCTGGATAACACCAAGGGTTCTGGCCTGAGGGGCTGGGACAGAGGGCATCCCCAAACAAGCCAGATAGGGCCAAAAGAGGAATCAGAAAAAGTCCCATCTGAGATGCTGGCAGAAAGAAGGCCCTGGAAGGATCCAGCAGTGGGAGCGAGCCCAGGCATACAGACTGAATGCACGTTCCACCCCTACAACCTACAACTTAAAAGGACTGCTACTGTTGCCAACGGCACCACAGCAATGATTTGTAGTAGGGCTTCCACACTGGGTTCTGAGTTCTCCAAGGATTCTTACAAGAAAGGAAGTACAGTCTTTTCACCTACAAGGAAGATTCAAACATCCCCTAGGCTAACAGCTATTTTATCTCCTGGGTTCTATATTTAGGAAAAAAGAATGTTTCTACTAAGTCTGGAAATTGCTGCTTCACCATAAGCTATGCCATGTTAGACACTGTGACCACCACACAATACGGAAAAAAAAAAGAGAGAGAGAGAGACAGTAAAGTAGAAATTATATGATTAAAACTCTGCATCTAAACTATTATTTAAGGGACACCTGGTGGCTTAGTCGGTTAAGTGACTGACTCTTGATTTCAACTCAAGTCATGATCTCACAGTTTGTGAAATGGAACCCTGTAAGATTCTCTCTCCCCCTCTCTGCTCCTCCACTGCTTGTGCGCTCTCTCTCTCTCTTTCTCTCTCTCTCTCTCTCAAAATAAATAAAATCAACAACAACAAAACATACACACATAGAAAACAACACGCTTTGGCAAGAACGTAGAGAAATTAGAACCCTCGTGCACTGCTGTGGAAAACAGTATGGCAGTTCCTCAAAAATTTAAACCTAAGGTGACCTTATGCCTCAGCATTTCCACATCTGGGTCTATACCCAAAAGAACTGAAAGCAAGGGTAAACAATTATAAATTGGGGTAAAGAGTGCAGGGAGGGTGGTGATGACACCTAACCATAGGCCCCCAACCAGCTCCCCACAGGGCAGGTGCTAGCTCCAGGTCACAGTAAGTCTTCCCAGACGCCACCTGAATCCCCATGCAGAAAAAAACGAGAGGAGGACCCCGAGATGACTGAGGGATCAGGTCTCTGTGTAGCAGCAGTGGGACCCACGTCCATAGGTGGGAGAACATCAGCCCAGGGCCGACCTACTCCTGAAAGAGGAGAGCTTGCCTGTTCTTGCTCAGCAGCACCTAGCAGGAAGGTACCTAACAACTACCGGGATTGTGCCAGATGGGCCGGTACCTTCCCCTGGGGCTTCTGTGTCCCCCAGGACCAGGACGAACTCAGGTTCCATTTCAGAGCTGACAGGAGACACCTCCTCAGGACAGAATGAATGAAAGATAACCAGCCAAGCTGGAGGGAAAACCATGTGCTCCAAGTCAAGAGAGAGGTTTCTGGTCCCACCTGCTGCGTAAGTCCCTGCCCACCCCTCTGCCCACCTGCCTCCATAAAGAAAGCCCCTAGACTCCCCTAGTGCTCCCTGGGTACTACAGTCAGGGCCAGGAAACCCTCGAGGAGCCCATGGTGCCAAAGAGAAAATAGAAACTTCAAGCTTCCTAATTGTTTTGAATTGCTAAAAATCCATGCTAAAACTCAAGCCAATTGTCCCCGCTGGAAAGGGTTCCTGGGCTAACTTTAACATAATCTAAAAATACAGTACCTTCCACTCCTCTACCTCTATAGTCTATCCCAGACACTTATAAGGCACATTTGCATTATCTCACTTAAACTTAAAAGAGCCTCTGGAAAGATTACTGGGCTTAGGGTCCTATTTTTCTTCTAGCACTGTGACTTCAGGCAGATCAGCCAGTCCCTTATGCCTCAGTTTCCTATTCTGCAAAATGGGTATGATAATGCATATCTCATAAGGCTGGCAGTCGGGAGGGCTGGACACAGATACATATTGGAATTGAGGCATACTTGTAAGTGTTCATACAACATTTCAAGAGGAACCTAAAAAAGTGATCCTCACAAAGACTCATGCACATTAGTCCCAGGAGACCAGCATCCCTCTGCCATAGCCCCTCAATTCCATCCGATCATTACCACTCTTCCTCAGCCCCCTCAATTCCCAGTAGCAAAATAAAGAATGAGTCAGAATACTGTACTCTAATACACATTGAGAGAACTGTGGAGACTCTGTAACACAGACTGTTTTACTTTACTTCTGCCAAAATAGTACATAGTAATTATTACCTTAAAACTGGCCTTGGGTTTTTAAATATCAGTACATATAAGAATTTTTTACCTAAAACATAAAAATAAAGCTTTTCAAAACTGAAAATCTTATACTGATTTAATACAGCAAAAGTACGTTCTAAATTTCCTCTACACAGTCTCACCTCTGCACTGGAATTACCCAGTCTCTGGGTCTCTCCCACCTACCAGCCTATAAGCACCTGAATAGTCCTGTCTTTATCTTTTGTACCAACAGAGTACTCCATTAAGGAATGAGCAAGCAAATGAGTGGTATCTAGGCAGCTTGTCTGTTTTAGTAGAAGACATTTAATTTCTCAGTCAAATCTTTCTCAAAGACCAGCATCTGTCACTCACAGGATGCCCCCTTGTAGGGCAAGCCAAGTTGAGAAGCCACATAAAGGAACAGCTCACTGATGGCTTCGGTAACACTGTGAACTGTAACATTCCTGAGTAAAGAGAAGCATTCCCATCTCAACCCAAATGGGACTTCATCAAGGAGCTTCCCCTCTGATGTGGCCCCTACTGCACATGATCATCACACACTGTGTTCTCCATTTATGATTAAAAAAAAAAAACTTTTAGAAAACGAGGAATGAAAGGAAACTTCCTCAATCTGACAAAAAGCATTTACCAAAAAAGCTACAGCTAACATTATACTTAACCATAAGACTGAATGCTTTGCCCCCTAAGATAAGGAACAAGGCAAGGACATCCACTCTTATCACTCCTATTCAACAGTATACTAGAAATGCTAGCCACTATAATAAGGCAAGAAAAAGAAATAAAAACAAAAAGAGATAATTAAAAAGGAAGAAATGAAACTGTCCATATTCACAAATGATGTAATTGTCT